AATACGACTTTGTCAAGAAACAGTCATGTTTAACCAATCTGTTGTACCTTTGAGTCAACACGTTGTCTTGATAGCCGGATTTCGATAGAACTTTACTGTTTTGATTTCAGCAAGGTTTTACATTCGGTAGACACCGTTTCCTACCAATGAAGCTGGCATGGCTTGGGATAAATCCTCAACTGTTGGCTTGGATATCAGCCTTTCTTTTAGAAAAACCTCCCACGTTAGAGTCGATGATGTCATCACAATTATAGGCACCACTCACAGTGGCGTTCCCCAGGGTTCTGTTTTAGGTCCCCCGTTATTCCTCATTCATAAATGACTTGTCACCTCTTCTTGAGGACCTTTGTTACATCTTTGCCGATGATCTGAAACTGGTTAGCAGGGCTAATAGGGGCACGTTATTCAGGTATCTGTACTGTAGCAGATTGGTCTGTCGTATGGAATTTGCCCCTTAACGCCAATAAGTACCAGCTGCTGACTTCCAGCAATGATGGGATTACAGTGCAGTCTTCTACTGGACCTCTGACATTGCATCCTATTGATGAAGCACGGGACCTAAGTGCAATTATTACATCACAATGTCAGCATGTTGCCAACGAGGCGCTGCAGGAGCTTTTTTGTCTCAGGAAGACCTTACGTAAAACTAGCTCGGAGGTATTCATCCCATTGTATAAAGCAGTGGTACGACCCCACTTAGAACACTGTGTCCAAGCGTGGGTGCCGTATCTCCGGAAGGATGTTGTTTGTATAGAGGAGGTACGGAAGATGGCGACTAGAATGATTTAGAACCAGCGCGAAAGCCGTATGATGTACGTCTAGAGATTGGGACTTTTCCATGTAGCGGCGTAGATTGAGAGATCTGTTAGAGCTTTTCCGGATTATGAAAGGCCTCAGTGGCGTTAAGCCTACTGACCTGTTTGGGCCAGCTACATCAGATCACCTGAGAGGTCACCGGTCAGAGGTCGCGGCTAGCTATCAAGGGGAAATACTATACGAACCGCCTTGTTGGCAGTTGGAACAAGTTCCCTCTTCCTTGATGGACTCAACAACAGTTGACATCTTCAAGAGAGGTCTAAACAGATGTTGGTTAGCTCTTTTTCCATAAGTATTGTAAACTTAGTGATGCTCGTTGCTGAAAACTCTTGAAGAATGAGGTACAACATTGTTTCATTTTTGCTTCGTTTTCTATGCAGAAGCAAAAAATGCAATTGGAAGTTGAAGTATTGGGTACCTTGATTGTTTGCCGGTGCAAGAAGCAGGATGCTCGTTACACGAAAGCCTATACCGTTCTGGGTGCCTGACCGCACCTGAGGTATTTGCTTTCCATTGCAGTTCCGCAGGTCTATTACGACCTACCTACGCACTGTACACGGAAACCCTCGGAATCCTCGACCGGACACATTCCCTTTTGGACCTTTTTGGTAAAGAATAGCGTGCGGATTTCATTTGCTTGGAAATTCACTAGCTGAATACACAGACTGTCAAGTATAAGGCACGATAACGTCTAAACGCATGGATTGTGGTAGATGCATAACTTCAAGATCAAAGGCTGTGCAATGTTCTGTCTGTGCTGGGTGGCGACACATTACCTGACGCGACATCAGTCCAAATCTTTCTGAATGTCTTTAGTGGACCATCTCCTTGGATATCAGTTTTCTTTGTGCCTCTTGTCGACCTGTATTGAGCGACAGGCGTCTCTTGAATGGTCTACCCGAAGGTAGTCCAACTGAGCTGCACAGCTGTCGGACCGCTTGTATCTTCATTGCCACTTTCTGACACTGACTCAGCCACTCCATCTGGTAGACGAAGTCGCGTCCCTTCGTCGACGCTATTCGGAACCACTGACACGTGATCATAGCAACTATGAGAGTGCTGAACAAGCATCTGCTAGCAGTGGTGCAAATCTGCGTGCGAAGGAAACCAAGCGTGATGGTAAGTCAATCCAAGGAATTTGTTACTTTCGAACTGAAGCTGGTTTTCGACAGAGTAAACATCATCGTCATCATTATACACGTTAGCTAGAGGTTTAAAACACCTCAGCTATTGTGCTGCAATGCATAAAAGAAAAAGAATAGAAATACAGCCGTTGCATGCCAGCTCAGCTGCCAGCAACGGATGGGCATCGTTCCGGAAAACTACCAGCCGGCTACTAGGCAACAAGAAAAATTATTACGTAACATTATATTATGCTACGAAATGAGATCGTGGTGGTAGGGGGAGGCTACAAGGGATGGGGAGGGACAAAGAAACAGCAGGAACACCACTGAGGTCGGCTCCTAGCCATGTCAGTAAGTGTATCTAGCCAAACGTGTTCATCATCTTTTGGACTTCAACCTGGGAGTCGTGAAGCTCCATCCGAGGCCAACTCAGAAGTGAGGGCCTTCATTCCTCTCGACCAAGTCATCGCTTGGCCACCCCTCCTCTTCTTCCATCCACATCCTCGGTGAGCAAACAGCGCACGTCGCGGGAGTCGGTGGGCTGGCATGCGTAACACGTGGCCGAGCCATCGGAGTCTGGTGCGTGAAATGACGGTGCTGAGCGGTTCATTTCCTTTTCCTGTGCCGTAAACAAGGCGTCGGACACGCTCGTTGCTCACGCGGTGTTCCCACCAGATGTGAGCTAAATTACGAAGTTAAATTACGAATTCGAAAGTGCTATCGGATTACTGAAATGGAAAAATGCTGCAAGATCAGATAGACTTGCTGCAGTTCCCTACGAATTCGATGTATTAGCTCTTGTGAACGAGTTGCAATTTTTTGTGAAGCTGTGGGGGTAGGAAATCGTCTCAACTGTTTCTGTGTTTTGGTCCCGATTTTCGTAGGAGTGCAGCAGTCATAGTGGAGTCAGTTGGGTCTCAAATCCTTCCTAGAGGCTTGCGTCTGTTCTTCATAAATTGGTTGTCATACATGGGATGCAGATTAGTGATGAGCATATTGGACTTCTATATCAGCACATTTCCAATTGAGGATGACGTCACAAACAGTACAGCAAAAGCCCTAGATGCTTTCTCTAACCTTCCTCACCTATCGCACCGGCACGATATCGTTCTCTCCCTAAAGAGTAGTGTCAACGATACAACCGTCCGTTCAACTCTACCGCACAGGTGTGAGATCTCTCCCATCAGAACCACATACTTAGGCTGATTGCGTTTAACCACCGGTGTCTTCGTAATGAAGTCCATATTTGGTGGGAACACCGCGTGAGCAGAGATCCCTTTCGATGTCTTGTTTCTGATGCAGGAAGGGGAAGTGAACTACTCAGCACTTATATCACGGACCATACCCCGATGGATAGGTCATGTGTTACGCATAAGGCAAAAAGGCACCAGCAGCAGTAGTATTATCACCATTACGATTACTGAGAGAATACAGGTCTAATCAACGCATCATCATCATAGCACATTAGCTGAAGGGAGAAACACGCTTCAGCTACAGTGCCGTAAGAAGAACGAAACCCTTGTTACTTTTTGTCGCTTTTTCACACTCCAATATTTCCATTTTTAACTTTTTTCATTGTTAAGCATTAAGGATCTGAATCTAAACGAGTGTGTTCACAGATGTTCCACTAGTTCCGAGTATGCGCCGTATTCTTCATTGTTTCCGGTCATTGGCACTGTTCTTTCCTTGGTCCCCAACCGGGCAGATATGCGGATCCAACAGCAGCAAAACATGCAGTCAGCGATTTCATATGCTGTCGCTAAGTGGATGGTTGACCGCCACGTAATCTCTAACAGTCAACTCCTGCACGAGCGAGAAGGGCGCAGTTGGGCAAACGCTAAGCTGACATACGCTTATCATGACCGAGACATCTTACATCAGCAGTACCCCGGTACCTAGTACCCACGCTTCGCTGCCGCGCAAACACCACTAGTTGCAAGTGGGCTAAGGATATTGAGAACGTCATCTGGTCCCCTACAAAAGCTCGAATCTGCACTCTCAGATGGCAAGGCACGCTTGTAATCCTTAAGGCTGCGCTCCGGCATGTGTTGCGCATGCCAGCACACCAACTGTCGCGAGTTGCATTGTTTACGTTGCCGTGGTGGGCGTGGAAGATGAGACGATGTCAACTGCTAACGTGACCAGGAGTACTGAAGGCCATTACCTCGTCGTCTGCGTTATTTAGTGTCTCCCAGCTGCATGGTTGGGATGCGCAAGGTCATCAATTCGTTTCTTAGAGACGCTTGTTGGCATGGCCAGAAGGAAACTTTAATTGCACACGTGTTGTGCTCCTTTGATCTTTCCTACTTTCCACTTAGCCTCCATCCTCAACCAGAGGCTAGATATCAATGCATGCTAAATAAAACAGAGCATAATACTTGTCTCGCAATGTGTTTTCTGTTGTCTCTCACTTTTACGATTTCGTAATTGTATTGTATTGCAGTAAACTATCTGAGGTGTTTCTCACCTCCAGCTAACGTATATGAGGATGATGATTATTCTACATAAATCCGTAGGCCTGTTGTTAGCTTATGCGCCGAAGAACCCTTTCTTTTCGCTTTCCTTTGATTTTCCTTTTGTGCATTTTCCTTTAATATGTTTGTTTTGCCTTTATACCTTTTTGCCTTCTTCATGCTCATCATTTGCTTAGTTACTTGTTGATATACTGACTGAATTCTTTGACTCATGTTATTTGCTCTCATTTATCTTGTGTGATCTCATCAAGGCTCCTCGACCAGTACACGATACTGCCCATTTGAAAGTGTTCACCCCACGACATTGTGTAACCGCCTCTGTGCCAACGTTCTATCAGCATTGCATCAGTACTTCACCATGTGCTCATAATGGTGCCCGTAGTTGGTGCTTACGTAATCTGTCATTGAGAATCACCTCAGCGTTTATTCCCACATAAGTTTGAAGAACTGTGAATCCTAGCCTTAACACTAGCTACCAACGCATTCAAGCAACCTTCTCCAAATACCATTCCATTTTTGCTCGATCATCCTACCAACACTTATTGCAAACCCCAATTTTTAATCATGTGCTCTTTTTTCTCCACAGCTGCTCATCATGCAATCCTTTCCGGTCTTTTGTATCATGCCATCATCACGATCACGCCACTGCACTTCTCGACTTTAATCCTTCCAAGCAGTATGGATGGAGGTAACCTTTATCGATTTCCCTCCCTTTTCATCTAATGTTTTCCTAGACATTCCGACCGACGCAACTGACTGTCGATTCTCCTCACCTTGTGATGATCTTCTTGTAGATATCACCGAGCGTTTTACCGGAGCCTGTAAAATAGCTCTGAAACCCGGAGAGTTATGTTGCAATTCGTGGTTCACATTGCAGCACGCTATGTCCGCAATAGAGATTATGGATCCCAAGATGGACATACGTGTGGTTGGTGCAAGACGAATTATGTGCACTACGGAGCATTTGACTACGGGCACGCTCCCTTTGGATCGATTCGAAGACATTTCCGAACTGATTGGCATTATGGACGAATTACTGGCATGTGTCGTGAACTGGTTAACCGGAGACTCGCTGGCCCAATCCGTTTTCATTTCTATGTACATGCATTGCACACAGCTGATATGTGATCCTTATTTATCCGCTTTTTGCGAATTGCTACGACACAATGTGACTCGACTACGTCATTTCATTGTGTCCACCGGCTCCTTCGACGAGGAGGATCACTATGCGCCGACACTGGGAATGCCAATGTATGAACCGAGTCCTGCTTTCAATCGCTTTTTAAAAACTCAACAGGATTCCGATTGTATCCAACACTCGACTGAGTTGGGGCGCCTTGATTGCACCGATGATTTGATTGCGAATTTACCGGAGCTGAACTCCTCAACCGGTCCCAAACTTCTATCGTGTTTGCGGATCCGATTAAACTTTATCCGCAAGTTTGCAGATTTTCTTAACTGCCTTCCTCTGTATGCTCGTGCCGAAGGGGGCATGGAATCTACGAATCTTGAAACAAATTCTCACTTGTCATCTGCTGCTTGTCCCGGACCGCAGACATATGATACAGACACCTCTATACCCTACTCCATCGCGTCTTTATCCGGAACGGAGCAGTTTTGGATTAGCATAGAATCCGCTTGTGCCAATTGCCTAAAGTCTCTCAAATCTCTCAATCAAATAGCCATACATCTGGTCACTACTGTTAGTGTTGGCAAATCTAGCGGTCGTGGGAGAACACAGCCGAAGGATTTTTCATATGGTCTACCTGGTTTTGAGCCTCTTCTCAATCAAACGCATCTGCCGTCTTACATTCCCCGCTTTGTTGTAATCCACGAGCGTCCTGCTGCTTTCACCTATTTGCTCAAGTTAACCACTCATCTCCTTCAGATACTTGACAGTATCCAATGTATTGCTAGATTACAACCTCGCATGGAGATGCTTTCTACACCCCACCCACTATGGGCTCTTCTTCGTGCCCACGGCCAAAATACATGCTCTTATCTAACCGAGCTGTTACATGGACCACAACCGTTGCCTTCATATCCGGCCGCTCTACCAGTTAGTTTTAACAGCTGTGTTCTGTCCCGTTCCGTTTGTTACTCTCTTTATTCCGCATCATTGCACAATGTGTCCCTACCTGATAAACCTATGTCACTTCAAGCGGTGTTCGTATTGAACGCGTGGATGGCACTTGAGCCAGAGCGCTACCGATTACCCATTCGGAATCTCGTATGCGAAACAACCCACCTAGCGGACTTTTTGGACTTGATTGGTGAACATCTTGCACAGGTACGTGGCCTTTACATGTTTTTCACTTGCTAGCTTACTGTTCTTGTTTGATTAACCCATCAACAGCTACCCTCCTTTTCGCACCCATGTCCCACGACACCTAGTGTCGCACAATCAACATATTACACTATGAATCTGTAGCCTATCGAAGTTTGGCTTATCAGTATCCCCTGAGTCATAGACCTCGTTCTTACTAGTTACCATCACGACGAGACCGAGCCGTAACATGGTGCGGGGATTTACCTACTCCTGTGACCCATCGAGCTGGCTCTATGTCTAGTTAATAGACTGTTGAGATTACACACATACCCATGGAACTACTTTGTGCAGGACCTTTTCTATACCTTCTGACTCACTGATATAAAACACTGGAATATCCAATGATCAGTGTTTCCTTTGGAAGTTGGGTAAAAGATCGATGACCCTCTAACTGTGGAAGACAGCAGATTACGGGTTAAAAACTCAGTTCGACCAGTGTTGCTCACGAGCGGTAGAGTTTTCTCTGGTGGGGGAAGAACGTTACTGTTACTGGTTTACTACTACAGCTCCAAAATGACTCAAAGCTGTCAACTCCCGCCTACTTTTGGCCGCAGCCGTCGGTAAGTGGTATGTTATTGTCAGCAATTATACTTGAATTGTTCTTGATCTCCAAAAGCTCCGTGCGACAGACCGGGAGCAAGTCCCAGTCGAACCCTGAGGTCACAGTCCGAAACCGAACTTGTTTTCTGCACTGTGAGTCAGGCTATTAAGCCAAGTGCTCCGGGTGGATTCTCACAAACAATACTTCATTTACCATGTTATCTCGTGAGCCAAGAGTTACTGTTTGGACTTGGAGCATTTCGAACAAGCCCCCTCTCTCGAAATGGGCAGCCGGAATATATCACCATCTGCTGTAATCATTCCCTTTTCTTTTCATGAATCGTCTCTCGCACATCAGCAGGACCATGCTAACCTTATCCACTAAGTTATCTTCCAGACCTAGGCTAGTACTCTACCTTCGATCTGTTCGTTTCCGCACGCTATCCTCTCGGTCGGTAGATGACACTAGCTCTGGCTTGGATTTCATATATGTTGTGTCTCAGAGCCGTTACAAGACAACTATGTTTTAGTTCGTCTACGCCCACCAGGCTCGGATTCCAGTGACTGCGCGGACAAACTTTGCGCCTCTGGTGATACTGAGTCGATGATTCACAGTATTTACAGTGTTGGAATCACTCTTGGCGACACCACTTTTCTAGTCCGGATTTCGATGAATGATCAGTTGTGTGCCATAGGAGTTAAGAAGCAGCGACTGAAAACAAGCAGTTTGTATGTCATTACGGCCTACACGCCAGCCGACCTTAAGCCGGAGACCGTCTTGAATAAATTCTATAACAACCGTTCTTCATAGCTAGAGCGGACAAAGGTGCGGATATCAACATTGCTGCAAGTAACAAATTTTTAATTTATCTTTTGTCTACGCATAGACATAGAACAATCAAAAACCACGGAAAACGAGCAACACCTAATTCCCATACGTTTCAGCTACGGTCCAAGTTTTGCTTCAATGCGAATCACAGTTCACATTGAGATTGCATGTCGCAATCCAATTACACGAGTATTTCAAAACGACCCTCAAATCATTCAGTAACCGTTGTGCCATGTGTTACTCGTCGCGACCTGGTTATTGAAAGGGCTGAGTTTCCAACCCACATACTGATGGTCCTGGGTTCGAGGCCTGCTATCTGTATCTGATAAGATCAGACAATGTCGAAACCAGTGGTAGAATGTGCTGCAGTGTTTTCGGACATGCAGCACCCAATTTCCATACGCTTCAGCTACGGTTCTAGTAATCGCAGTGACAAAGGTTCGCTTCAATGCGAATCACAGTCCACATTGAGATTGTGCATCGTAATCCAATCACACTACGTGCACTTCAAAATAACCCTCCAATCGATCGAAGGTACAGTTACCATAAAATGAAAACCGAATATATCACGCTGCAATTGATCTTTTCATTGGAGAGCGCATAATACCCGCCTGCCCAAACCCAAGTAAGCATTTTACTTAATGGACACTATCTCGAATCACAAGGCAGGGAATCGCACCTATTGGGGGCCGGCTGCTTATTGTACAGTTCATACGCCTTTCGCTTGGTCAGTTACCAAACAAGGACCCAACCCTCCGCATGGACACCGAATTCGGCTGCCTATCAAAGTCAATAAACAACTCAGAGGTCTTTTCGAAATGGATACATGACGTACTGACAGTACAGATCGATTTTCTTTAGCTGTGCATTGACCTCAACATCCATATCAGCAACGCACCTTTTCAAGGGAAACCACCATATCGATTTACATGGCGCCCACCGAACGACTGGCTTATATGGACTCAGCTTGAGCACATCCTTGCCGCCCCGTAGCTCTAAGAATCACAAGCCTGCCTTGTAATCCGAGGGCGTGGGTTCGAGCCTCCGTAAAGACCAGGTGACCCTCGCAGTACCCACAGCCGGCGTGCGACTGGTGTTGGTTGCGCGACAGCAAAGCGTCGGTACTGCCTACCGGCGTACTGCTGATGCATTCTGACCACATCACTGTTGGTTGTGGACGCACACGTCAGTGAAAGATTGCCGTTCGATGTGGTACATTTGCTTCACTGATGGTGATGCTCTCTTATGTCTCCGTTTAACGTTTCAGCCTCGGTTTAGTACAGAGCTCCGAAAGCAACTGTATTCACCGGCTTCGAGTCAAGATTATCAGTCTCTCACTAACGAACGAGGGGACGAACCGAATCTGAACTGGAACCGCGTCCTATTCACCGTGCCATGATCACTTCTGGTCTACTGCCATCCTGGCTCGATTTATCTGAGTTGTGGCTGGATTTTCGAAACTTAATTGAAACAATTGACATAGTTTCTTCACGATGTCCATCTCAACATGTTCATAGCGCTCCCAAACATCACCTGGCTAGTAGCCTTAGAATCGACGCAAACCGCTGGTGGATGGCGATGACTTTCGAGACGGGGTTGGCCAATACCACTTAGAACACGCGAGTATTATTCCAGCTTTCTCAACGCACTGAAGCAGAAACTTTCCCCTTGGGTGGGACTTTATCTGAGACAACGAAAAGTTGTTTCACTCTCAATCACATCGACTAGATAGTGTAGCCATACACTTCGGACCTTGATGTATTGCGGTCTGACGCAGGTTCTCCTTTCTGAGGTGGAAGAAAACACCTGGCCCTGAGATTTTCCACCGTCATTATGAAAAACTGTGGCAAGTCACTATTGACTACCTTGATCGCTCTTTTCGACACTATTTGACATCAAGAGGAAATATCCACCGGCTCAAGAAAAAAGTATCCGCAGTACACACGTACATCATACTGACGTTTGGCTGCCACACGTCCACCGGCAGTTGCGTGCGGGGTAGAGATATTGAGATTTCGTCCGCACCTAAGGTAGATCGAACCGGAAATCTATGGATTACAACTCAAACACTTAAATCACTAGGTCACTGGTCGGTCGACCATCTCCAAATTTAATGTCAATGAAATTGCTTCCTGCAGAAACCATTGAGGTTTCTATCAGATCCCAGTTACCTCTAAACTACTCATTTAAGTCCTACTATGGCGGCTCATTGATTCTTGTGAAAAACCAATGGAAGTTGGGGCGGTTTCTGTTTCATTGATGATACCTTGACCACATTTCTGCTTTTTGTAAAACTCTTCAACCTCATTATTCTCACTGACATCCCTTCATTGTAGCATTTTTCTTTACTTACAGGCTGTGTTTGATTCTTTTGCTCGCACCTGCTTGCGACAGTATCTTTGATGGTCACTTTTGAGAACTCCCTCGCTATTACGAAAAATCTACATCACGACCCTCGCGGGCATGTGTGAGGGTTTCTGGGAATTCTTTTTGCCGTGCGCGCACCACGACAAATTTAGTGCAGCCCGATGTGCTTACTTGCGCTATTTCTCCTTGATTTGGCGATCGACATGCTCATTAATGAGACACTATTGGAGTTTTCCACTCTTTTGCAGGAATCTGGCTTCTGTTGGGCGACTGGTTGTCGAATCTGGAGTATGCGGATGGCAAACCTCCCTTAACGGCAAACACAGCTGCTATCCTAACTCTAATGAATTGACTGTATTGTAGTGCTGCACGCTTCGGTATATGTTAACGCCTTTAAAATGAAAAGTACTGCTATCGTACTGAACCACCCCACCGAACAATCACGAATTTGTTGAAACATTTATTTACGTGGTTAGTGTTATATGAATAGGCGAGGCAGAGAAACACACTGAGTCAAAATGAGTATAGCCCGAATGAATAGGCTTTATTCAGCAAGAAACTCAGGTGTGTAGGCCGAAAAGTAGTCCAGAATGTTTGTGATAAATAACCATACGAAAGTGGTTATGTGTTATATTTCATTTATATCTGGGGCAAACAGTTGTTTTCAGTGATTTATCTACGGGACGGTAAACTCATCTGAGGTTAAAAAACGAAGAACTGTACGGTGGTTGCTCCAGATGTAGGTCTGTAGTTAGACAGCAGGTAGGTCGTCGCTACCTTACACACGCCCACACACAATTCGATCGAGGTTACGTAGTCACACTGACGACACCGGTGTCGGATTGCCGATTGGGTGGACTACTGTTCGGCCACGGTAGACAAAGCGAGTGAACCAACTTCTTTTGCGATCATAGCGAAGCTTGAAATATTCGAATAGCAATAGCTTCTGCTAAGGCGAACGTTCGTAGACGCACATCTTTCGACTTGTTCACCGGGAGACGTCAAATGCACTCGACACATTTGCCCTGTGACCTGATTCGTATAGGTGGGACAAAGTGCCGCTTGCCAACACTCCAGTATATCCGTTCGCCAACCATTTAGCACTATGTTCCTTGTTGCGACGTGACAACTAACGAGTCGTTCGACCAATATATGTTGCACCACAGTTACATACAAATCGATAGCTTATGTAAGAGGTCAACTCTGACAGTCTGTCCCTGTTTTA